GCATAGCATAGATGCTAAATTTAAAATAAGGCAAAAATCTCATTGAATATATACCAAGCAAATCCGGCTGACGTAAAGGTTCTGCCAGTATTCCTGTTAACTGGAACAAAGGAAGCCTACACTAACAACGAATGATAATTTTATATGTACTCCTAAATATTTAGTTAACTCAGACTAAGTCTAACGTCGTCCAGTCTACTGCTTCACCAGTTTTTTAACTGGTTCTCAACCATGGGAAGGACGGAATGCTGAGTGTGGAGCTAGCAATCCTACCCTGGAAAATCAATCCAGTCACTACATAAACTTAAAGCATATGTAATAACTAAAATATAAACTTATTCTCTTCTGGAATCAGAGAGACGAAATGACATGAGCTAGCAAAGGCCTTAGTGGAGCTAGCCAAAGGATGTAGATTTTCTCAATGAAAGCATTCTAACCGTTAGTGAAAGCAGAATTTGAGCATGATTTCGAAGTTGAGAGGGCTGCTAAGGCTGCGGAAATAATGAGAATATATGTTATAGAACTGCTAAGAACGGTGTCATTAAGTGGTTTGAAAGTTGTCTATAACAAATGTTAGCTGGATAATTAACAACCTTCAACGACCACCCTTGAAACAACTACTAAAACAGCGAGGAAGAAGTTGTCGTGCGTCACCAACAGCAGCCGAAGCTCTCATGTATTGGAACCAACCTCCTCCAGGACTAAAAAAGCAAGATCAGTATCAAGATGTGGCAAAATCCAATTTTCCAGTGCTATGCTTCTACAAACAACTCAGACCAGAAGAAGAATGACGAATTCTGCAGAAAACCGCAAACAGGCAAGAACACACATAACGACGCCGAAATTCCTATGGGTGTTATGAATGTAATTCAAACTGGGAGCAGACAACACAGAAAGAGAAGACTTTAAGGGGTCGAGAGGCGCTCATTTAAATACGAGGTAATAAAGAACTATTAACAGACTTCTGTGCATTCATTAATTTGAAGATTGTTGGAAGCATGTACAAACACATGTGTTTACCCAAGGCACTGTGCGTTTCATCAGGTGGACACATCAACAATTGAGTAGATTCAATCTCACTCTCAAGACACTATAACAGCCTGCTTGACACAAAATCAACAAGGGATGCAGCTGAGGGCCTTCAAAGCAGCTTTAGATAGACCATAATTGAATTTCAAGATTCAGAAGCTGAATTATGAGACTACAATGGACACCGTCGCAGAAGCTGAGGGGGAAATTTCGGACACCTATATCACCTTGTGTATATACCTGTGCTCGTACCTTCTGTCTCCAGTCTTCAACTCATTGAAGGCTCAGAAGTATGTTAATGGCTCTCCATTCTCAGTTGTTTCAACGAATACCTCTCGGCGAATGATGAACTATCTTTCTGTATTTTATGTCCCCAGTTTGGCCTGCATTCATACCATTCTATTGGATGTTGGAATGACCATCTGGTGGGGGTCTGGTTGACTACTGCCTGGAGTTGTCTATAGGATTCGTCTTTCTTTTTCTTCCGATTTGCATTGTTTTTATTTGTAAAGAATTTCCTAATCGCAACTTGCCTTCCTTCATTTTTGGATTGAATCTTGCTGTCATTACTCTGGAGTAGATCGGTTTCCACTGTATAAGAGATTGTAATACTGTTGGTGACATGACGACAGTCATACACTCAGTGTGGTCATGGCTGTTTTCGGGTGATCAGGAGTAAACTGTGACTATCTAGCTATCAGTGTGGAGAGTCCACTTTTAATCCATCACATCTCAGAGATTTTATAACATAACTTCAATGGAAGCGATTGCTTCTTCCTTATATCACTTGGTCATGACAATATTGTCAACTTTGCCACCCGTCTTGGTAAAACACTAGACCTAGTATTCATTAATGATGCTGGCATATATGAAACTCGCAAAAGTGCTCCTCTACTGAATTCTGACCACTGCATCATACGTGTACTGCCTAAAATATATTCCAAATCACACAGAGGTGTCCTTTCTCACCTCTACAGTAAAGTTCAACGGAGATGCTAATCAAAAGACAACATAGACAAGCTCAGATGCATGTTGAAAGACACTAACTGGGACTTATTTACAGAACAAACATTAGATGAAACAATCACAAACACTACCGATTATCTTAAATTCTGTTTCGAAATATGTTGTCCTAAAGAAACATTATTCATTCGATTTGATCGCTTCTCTTCGCTATATCTCAAAAAGCTACGTAGAAATAAAGAACTGTTGTTCAAAACAAATGATAAGCCTGGTGTAAAAAAGTTAAACATGCTGATAAAACTAGAAATAAAAAGACTAAGTGTTTTATATAATCAAAGATTTTTGTCATGTAAAACCCCTTCAAATTTATGGAAACTTTTCAAAGAAATTACTAACGGTAAGCGATGTATTTCTGTTCCATCTCTTAATGTTGACACTCTTAATAAATCTTTCATACGCTCTTCTGTTGATACCCTTCCAAATGATACAAATCATATTGACAATAACTTTAGTAGTTTTAATACCCTTGATGTGCTTAAATGTCTCCGGTCTCTTAAGCCTTCTCAAAGCCTTGGTCCTGACGGCATACCTGCCATTGTCCTCAGGAATTGTGCTGATATTTTGTGTTATCCTCTTACTAACATTTTTAATGCCTCTTTTTCCGGTAACGTTCTACCTTTTGCATGGAAAAACATTAAAATTATCCCTATACCAAAACCTTCTTCTGGTTCTGATATTAAATTTCGGCCTACTGCAATTACTTCCCCCTTTTTAAAATTGATGGAAAAATTACTTTTACTTCGTCTTGAACCCGCTTTGAAACCGTTTAATGATCCTAAACAATTTGCATACAAACATGGTAGAAGTACCTTGGATGCTGCGGTCGTCTTATATCACAATGTTGTCTCTTGTTTAGACTAAGGTGCTAAATATGTTCGTAGTGCTTTCTTAGACTACACATCTGCTTTTGACTCTGTACCTAGGGGCCTTTTGTTAAATAAGCTATCGTTGACACAAACAGGATCCTGGGCTAAGAGTTGGTTGCATTCCTATTTTTCTGATAGAATGCAGTATACTGTATATAACGGCAAATCTTCTTCTACCTCGCTTACAAAATCCGGTGTTCCACGAGGTGCTGTCCTCTCTCCTTTTCTTTTTTCTTTCTTCCTACATGACCTGCCTCATTCAAACGAAACTAACTTTGTCAAATATGCAGATGATCTGACTGTATCACTGCCTATCACTTCCGAGTCTGACAGCTCCAAACTTAATAGCTTTCTGTTGGACATCAACAAGTGGTCCAAGTCAAATGGTCTTATATTAAATCCTTCCAAATGTCAGGTGCTTGACTTTACTTTCAAGCATCGACGTGACTTACTTGAACTAATTAACTCTCATGATCCCTGTAGCATAGATGGCACGGAAATTGAAACCAAGTCAAGCATTAAATACCTTGGACTAGTTTTTTCCTCTGACCTTTCATGGTCATCCCATATCTTATCTATCTCTAAGAAAATGTTTCGTCTTACCTTCTACATTAAAAAGTTAAGACAATCAGGTATCAACCAACCTTTAGTTTTGCAATTTTTAAACTCCTGTATTTTACCTATTGTACTCTACTGCTCTCCATTAATCTTTCCTGGGCTGCTCAAAAAAGATTATATCATATTACGAAGAGTATTAAATGCTGTGAGTAGAGCTTGTGGTCTGCCACTGCATGAGCTCGCTAATACTATAGTCGAGAGGCATATAAATTCCTGTACGAAATGGGCAAAGGCTATAATGTCAGACCCTCTGCACCCCATTCATTCACACCTGTCCCCTTGTATCTCATCAGGTAGGACGAGAAGTCAATATAAAAAGATATATGCTCGTACTACTAAGTATAGAAATTCTACAATACCCTATTTAGCGCGTACTTTATGTGACGAAGACTCTGTTAGACGCGAAACTTACAAGTTACTATGTAATTAGCACAGTAAATCGACCTTTTTATCGTTCATCTTTCTGTATTTTATGGTGTCACACTTTCTATCGTTTAAATCGTTACTCTGCTATATTATATTAGTTGGTATTAGTATTATTACTACAATTTTGTACTTTATACATATTTTTCTCCGTATGGCACACAGTATTTTGCTACGTAGCTGCTACAACAATCGTTTTATTACTATTATGTATTGCGTATTTTTAATTTTTTTGTGGTCGTTTTTGAGTAAATTAGATGCAATATTGTACTGAATGCTGAAAATTCCTTGCTGTATCATGAGTACTGTTTTTGGAATAAAGCAATTATTATTATTATTATTATTAATATTATGTGGTGATTGACTATTTCTATCTTTGTATTGTTTAAATACTTACTGTTGATTGTTAATATTTTCATATATGAATTGCATTCTAATTCCGCTAAATACAAATTCCAGATTGCTGCCCTCTCTGGGTTTTGTTTAGATTCTTATAATTCCGTCAGATCGAAATACTAATACTTCAAGTACAATAAATTACTACAAATTGGCGTCGCGATGGAGCTAAGTAACCTGGGAAAATTTCCTCTTAATGGTTCTCCGCGGGAGATTGCTGATTATTTGGAATGCTTTGATGCGTGGTGCATTTCCAAGAATGTTCGGGATGATAAAATACCTGCTCATTTCATCACCGCTATTGGGCTTGATGCATATAGCCTGGTGAAGAATCTGGCATTTCCAGATAAACCCATTTCTATGTCATATGACAAGATCCGTGAGCTTCTGACAAATCACTTCCATGTAACTACTTTTGAGACCAGAGAGAGGGCTCACTTCAACAAACTGGTACGTTCTCCCAACCAGAAGATTCGAGAATTTATTCTTCAACTTCAAATTCAAGCCTCAAAGTGTAATTTTGGAGATCAGCTGCATACACAACTACGTGATCGTCTAATTGCTGGAATCAATATTCCTAAATTAGAGAAAGAGTTAATTCAGATTCCTTCTTGTACCTTTCAAACTGCTAAAGAGGTATGTATTACATATGAAGATGTCCATAATGAATACTCTGCTCCCACTACGTCAGTATCTGATGTCATGCTTTCCAAAGTCGAAAATACAAGTGTTCATGGAAAGCAATCCAAACTGCCGTCCACAGGTAATAGAATGCAGCCAGAGATCAAAAACATTAAACCGTGTTTTTCCTGTGGAAAGTTACATCTACGAAGCACTTGCCGTTTTCGGAGTGCTAAGTGTCACAAATGTGGTAAAGTTGGACACATCAAGACTGTGTGCAGAAGTTCGAATACATATGTTACTGAGAATCCTGATAATTCTTCCAATTTATCTGGTAAAATGCAGTCGATGTCTCTTTCAACTTTTCCCAATACTCAATCTCATCTAATGAGAACCTTCACTACAAGTTCAGGCAAGTCCCATTGTTTTATAATTGATACTGGGAGTACTGAATCTATAATTTCTAAGAAAGATTTACAATCGATTTGTAAGAATGTCCAGATAGATCCTACTACTAGTTCAATTACAGGCATAACTGGTCATAAATTACCTCTTATCGGGGCTACTAACATTTCTTTGAAATCAGACAGTGGTAATTTTGTAAATATTCCCTTTCTTGTTAGTGAATATGGTCCATCTTTATTGGGATTAAAAGCCCTTAGATTGTTAAATGTCGAAATTTCACTTTGTACTGAGTTGTTTGATGAATCTTTGTTCAGGGAATTACTTCTCCAATGCTCAAAGAGTGTAGGTGGTATGAAGATTCAGCCCATCCATCTTGAAATAGAGGGTGATCCTATCTTCCTGAAACGCCGATTAATTCCATATGGATTGCGAGATGCAGTTAAGAAAGAGTTAGACAAGTTGGTTGAGCAAGGCATACTTATGCCAGTTGAGTCTTCAAATTGGGCTACTCCTATTGTTACGCCACTAAAGGCTGATGGAAAAACACCTAGAATTTGTGGTGACTACCGCCTTACACTCAATAGTCGTCTACTACAGCAAAGTTGCACTACTCTAGAAACTGAAGACATTCTCTACAAGCTACATGGCTCAAGATACTTTTCCAAAATAGATCTAAAAGATGCCTATTTGCAAATTCCTCTTGATGAGGCGTCTAGTGCATTAACAACCATTAATACTCCATTTGGATTGTTCAAGTATAAGTTCTTGCCTTTTGGTTTAAAGGTTTCACCTGCAATATTTCAAAATGTAATAAATCAGATGATAGATGGATTAGATGGTGTTGAGTCATACCAAGACGACATTATAGTTCATGGTCCTAATATCGAATTGCATAATGAACGTCTTTTAAAACTGTTCAGGCGTTTATGTGAGAATAATGTTCTTGTTAATCCATCTAAATGCCATTTCACTTTGTCGTCTGTATCATGCTTGGGATACACAGTAGACTCCGAAGGTTTCAGACCTGATGCTAGTCGTTTGGCACCTCTAATTCAAGCACCGTCACCTAATAATATGTCATCGTTGAGATCATGGATAGGTACTCTTCAGTTTTACTCCAGATTCATTCCCAACTTCACTCAACGGTTATCTCCACTTTTTGAGATTGTCTCCAGTAAACAGTTTAAGTGGGAACAACAACATGAGAATATCTTGCGAAAAACTTTGGAGTTTCTTAATAAACAAGCTTTCTTAAGACCTTTTTCATCGAAAGATAAGTCTGTTCTCACTACAGATGCTTCTCCTATGGGTATAGCTGCAGTACTTGAGCAAAATGGACAACCTGTTATTTGTATTTCAAGACGTCTAAGTAAGAGTGAACAAGGGTACTCACAAACCCAGAAAGAAGCTTTAGCAGTTGTATGGGCAATAAGACGCTTGCACAAGTATCTCTTTGGTACTAAGTTTCACATAGTTACTGATCATCAAGCTTTGAAATTCATTTACAATCCAGAAAAATCTTTGAATAAATCATCTGCTGCTATGGTTCAGAGATGGAGTTTAGAACTAAGTGCATATGATTACACTATTGAACATAGATCGGCAAAGGATATACCTCATGCAGACTTCTTATCTCGTTATTCATTATTTGAAAATATTGCTAATGATACTGATTGCTTATTAGTCCAGCCGTTACCGGTGGATCGAGTTCGACTTATAAATGATACTCGGAAATATTACGGATGTGTTATAAATGCAACAAAAAGAGGTTGGAATGTTCAGTGTAAGCGAAGATTTCCAGACTTTTATAAGCGAAGAGATGAGATTTCAGTCCATCCTGAAGGATTTCTATGTCTGAATGACAGAATTATTATTCCTCCAACATTAAGATCTGCAATTTTGGATGATCTACATTCTGCTCATCTAGGAGCTGATAAGATGAAATCATTAGCACGCCTAACATGCTGGTGGCCGGAAATTGATGCTGACATTAACAAAAGATCAAAGAGCTGTTCTAGCTGTTTACATAAAATGTCCTATGGGAAGTCATCGTGGACACCGTGGCCTGCATCTTGTGAGGTTTGGCAGCGTATTCATGCAGATTACTGTGGTCCATTCTTAAATTCATATTATGCTTTAGTTATTGTGGATTCTTATTCTAGATGGCCAGAAGTCATCATTACAGATAGTCCTAATGCCAAATTCACTCACAGAGCGTTGAGAAAGATTTTTAGTCGAGAAGGAATTCCAGATGTCTTAGTTACTGACAATGGTACTCATTTTACGGAGAAGAACTTCAATGATTGGCTCAAACATATAGGTTGTCGTCATTTGTACACAGCACCACGTCATCCTCAGTCAAACGGGTTGGCAGAAAATTTTGTACGAACATTAAAGAGTGCTATAGCATCAATGAGTCCTCAAAATTTTGATGAGCTAGAGAGATGTGTGGATAACTTCTTACTTCAATATCGCAATGCGGAGCATACAAGTACCCGTGAAAGTCCTGCAAAACTATTCAAATCCCGAATTCTCAGAAAGCATCTGATGTCCACGACTTCTGATGTACATTATTACAGAGGGAATGATTATAGACCTTCTATTGGTATCATACTACAAAGAATGGGAAATCGAATGGTGAAGATATTAGACATCGAAGATAATTCAGTTCATAACAGACACTTGGATCAAGTGAGAATAAATGAGGTAGGTCGTTCCGATTATGATTATAATGACTCCGCTACTAATCCCGACTTTGTAGATAATTCAGAAATAAGTCTAGATGATACTGATGGAAATGATATCACCGAATCAGTTAGAAGATCGCAGAGACTGGCAAGCAAACCGCGATATCATTATAAATACGCAAGGAGACATTCAACGTGTGGCGGATGTGGTGATTGACTATTTCTATCTTTGTATTGTTTAAATACTTACTGTTGATTGTTAATATTTTCATATATGAATTGCATTCTAATTCCGCTAAATACAAATTCCTGATTGCTGCCCTCTCTGGGTTTTGTTTAGATTCTTATAATTCCGTCAGATCGAAATACTAATACTTCAAGTACAATAAGTTATTACATATTATTATTATTATTCTCTGATATAATTGGCCTTGTTATGTAACCTGAGACATCGTGTGGACATTCGATGTTCCCACGCTTGCTCTATTCCTAATGGGAGGAAGAAATGTCGTTGATCTACTGGTTTCCCTAAAGCTTTCATCAGCCGGCGTCATCTGTATCCAGCGATTTCACTGGAGAGTGACTTTATTTTTTCTGTGCCTTGAGGTTTCAGCAGAGGTGGAATAATTTTTACGGGGTGAGGTTGATAGCCCCAGGCCCAACCTTCTCTCTTATCCTGACTTAGAACTGGTTGGTAAACTAGGCGAGTTCTCAGACGTTTGAAGTGCCTGAATCAAAGGATTTATGGAATAAGCGAAATCTAGTATTCATGTAAGAATAGAAATCGAGCACTTTTGGTTGTAATTCTTTTTTGGGGATGTGTTACTGCCTTATAACTGTTATGACTGTTATTAAGCTTAGTACTATGGCTCTAAGCTTTCCACTATGTTTCTTCCCAATGTAAAATAAGCTACTTGAAATGAACGTGAAAATTATTATTTTGTTAATTCATCTAGTATGACTGTCCTACTTACCTCATGCTAGCCGGTAATAAAGAAATTCTCTGAAATACTTGCAGTCCTAACATGAACTTCAAGAAGGAGATGTGGGAGAGGAAAATACAATAAGATAAATGCACAGAAGCCGTTGCAGCTCCGGAGCAAGTTACTTAACTTACCAACAATTAACAAACAGACTGACTTACAGCTGCCTAAAACAACATTTTCTGATGTATCCAGCAAAAGCTTGTGAATATTAAAGTGTATGTTAAAAAATAAATGTCGATATTTGAGTGAATTTACTGTAGAAAGCATTCAGTATTGAGAACAGAAACTCCGTAGTAGTTCTTATTCGGACGCTTTGAAATGATGCGAGAGGATCACTTAAAATAAAACCATAAACTTCTCATATGAATGCATGTGGTGATTGACAATTTCTATCTCTATATTGTTTAAATACTTACTGTTGATTGTTAACATATTTCTTATATGAATTGCATAAGAATTCCGCTAAATACAAATTCCTGATTGCTGCCCTCTCTGAATTTTGGTTGGATTCGTGTAATTCGGTCATCTCGAAATACTAATACTACGATTTCCAATAATTACAACAAATTGGCGTCGCGATGGAACTAAATAACCTTGCAAAATTTCCTATAAATGGTTCTCCGCGGGAAATTGCTGATGATCTTGAATGCTTTGATGCATGGTGCATTTCAAAGAACTTTCGGGATGACAAAATACCAGCACATTTCATTACTGCTATTGGGCTAGATGCATATAGCCTAGTGAAGAATCTGGCGTTTCCAGATAAACCTATTTCTCTGTCATATGTCGAGATTCGTGAACTTTTGATAAATCACTTTCACGTAACTACATTTGAAACGCGAGAGAGGGCTCAATTCCATGAACTGGTTCGTGCTCCCAATCAGAAGATAAGAGACTTTATTCTTCAACTTCAAATACAAGCTTCAAAGTGCGTCGGTGGCACAGTGGTCAGGACTCTCGCCGTTCATGCACATGGTCAGGGGTTCGAGCCCACACCGACGCACACCTGATATCTATGGTCGGCCTGCGTATTTTGGGCTACCGATATCCACGCTGAAAATTCCATACTTGTACCAAAAATACGGTGTGGAATCAAGCTGTAATCAAAAATAAAAAATAACTGCATACTCAACTACGTGATCGTCTAATTGCTGGAATCAATATTCTCAAGTTAGAGAAAAAGTTATTTCAGATTCCTTCTTGTACCTTTCAAACTGCTAAAGAGGTATGTATTACATATGAAGATGTTAATAATGAATACTCTGCTCCCACTACGTCAGTGTCTGATGTTATGCTGTCCAAAGTCGAAAATACAAGTGTTCATGGAAAGCAATCCAAACTGCCGTCCACAGGTAATAGAATGCAGCCAGAGATCAAAAACATTAAACCGTGTTTTTCCTGTGGAAAGTTACATCTACGAAGCACTTGCCGTTTTCAGGGTGCTAAGTGTCACAAATGTGGTAAAGTTGGACACATCAAGACTGTTTGCAGAAGTTCGAATACTTATGTTACTCAGAATTCTTATAATTCTCCCAAGCTGTATAGTAAAATGGAGTCAATATGTCTTTCAACTTTTCCCAATACTCAAGCTCATCCAATGAAAACCTCCACTACAAGTTCAGCAACTCAAGTGTCAACTGTTTTCAAAAGTGTTGTAGCCGAGTTACAATGTGATCTGTCGAAAACACGAAAAAAACTGAATGAGATGAGAGAGCAACTGATTAAAATGGAGGAATTGCTGCATATGCATAGATTGCGTCTGTTGAATGCAGTGCATACAAGTACCTGTGAAAGTCCTGCAAAACTTTTCAAATCTCGAATTCTCAAAAAGCATCTGATGTCCACGACTTCTAATGTATATTATTACAAAGGGAATGACTATAGACCTTCTGTTGGAATCATACTACAAAAAATGGAAAATCGAGTGGTGAAGATATTAGACACCATAGATCACTCAGTTCATAACAGACACCTGGACAATGTGACAGTAAATGAAGCAGGTCGTTCCAATTATAATTTTAATGATTCCGCTACTAATCCTGATTTTGCAGATAATTCAGAAATAAGTCCAGATGATACTGATGAAAATAATATCACAGAATCAGTTAGGTCGCAGCTACTTGCAAGCAAACCGAGACATCGTTATAAATACGCAAGGAGATATTTGACGTGTAGCGGATGTGGTGACTGACAATTTCTATCTCTGTATTGTTTAAATACTTACTGTTGATTGTTAACATATTTCTTATATGAATTGAATTATTATTCGGCTAAATACAAATTCCTGAATTCCGCCCTCTCTGGGTTTTGGTTGGATTCTTGTAATTCGGTCATCTCAAAATACTAATACTAGGATTTCCAATAATTACAACAATGTACGACCCACTTAAAATATTGGTAAACATAATGATCCTACCATATCTGTTCCTGTCTTTTCAAGCACACATAGATTATATAAACATGGACAAACTTTTATTTAAATTACATATTTATAATCTCGATAGAATAATTTTCTTGTGTCATTTGCAGTAGCAAAGAATATTTGATTACCGAACGCTAATGGACTAAATCAGTATTTCAATGTATAGTGAAACTGAAAATCTAGACACATTGGCTTCGTGTTAACAAAAGGAATCAGGTTTATAGAATATGATATGTAGGTAAGAAGAATCGAGGTGGAATCTAATACTTCTTTATATTCGGATTGTGTTTTCTACCCGTCTACAGGTAGAGTATTTAATTGTTGGGTACATGAGTAAAGTGTGTTAAGTAAAGACTGGTAAAGTGTAGCTTTTTCATAGGACTTCCAGTAATTTACGATTAATGACCTTAAAGTAAAGTTGTAAAGTACTGGTAGTGTTGTAGAAAAGCTACATTTTACCAGTCCTTACTTTATCCAACTTATCTATGTACCCAATAATTCAATATTCTACCTATTCTGCATGTACTGAAAACAATACGCAAATAAAAAAGATTTCGTTATTAACGAAACGTTCTCCAATATGCCGCACATTTGAGTAAAATAAAGGACAAAGATTACCCAAGGAAAAAGGTCTAACAGATATGGCTTTATTACAAACTC